AGCTAGTTTCTAGGCAGTTCAGAAAGCAACGTTTGGCAGTATGGGCTGCCGGCCGCGGGCCCGATCCGTACTTCACTGCCATGGTGTTTTGGCTCTGCGAGACCGGCCTTTGTGCGGAGCTTTGATGGCAGTGCAGGAAGGCGGGCGAATGGAAGGTCTGAGACTAGTTTCTATTCAGAAAGCAACGTTTGGCAGTATGGGCTGCTGGCCGCGGGCCCGATCCGTACTTCACTGCCATTGTGTTTTGGCTCTGCGAGACCATCCTACCACACTGCTTTTCGATTGAGATGACCCTCCAGTGTCCAGGGGTCGGCGGCAGTGGGCGTAGCCCTTTAATCCGGCGATGCCTCGCCGTGTAGTGGTGGCAGCTAAGCATAGCTTTAGCTACCCGGGGGCGCGCCCCTGCCGCCGACCCTCCCCTAAAATCCTTCAGCCTGCTGGGGGTTTCACGTTTTTGGGGGTTCGGGGTGGGAAAAAAGAGGGTAAAATTTGAAGATGCGTTTTGGAGGTCCTTGTTGGGCGTTTTTTGGTCGATTTTTGGTCAATGTTCATATTTTTTTGGTACTGTCCACGCGTAAAAATCGTGTAATTTACAATGTTTTGTGCCTTTGGCATCCAAAAAAAAGCTTCTGACAACATGCAAAAAACTGCGTAAATACCAGTGTTTTTGCTAGGCCCGGGCCACAAAACATTGTAAATACCGTGATTTTTGCTAGCAGAGGCTCAAAACCTCGTAAATACCGTGGTTTTGCGTTGGTGCGGAGCCAAAAACATCGGTATTTACGGTGTATTTTTGTTCCGGGAATGTGAAAAATCGCGGAAACACCGCCTATTTGGCGCTTTTTGGGGGTTTGCAAAAACCGTCGATTTGACGATTTTGAAGGGTTTGCAAAAAGTACCAACTACAAAGATAACAACGACAACGATAACAGGACCAAGCAGCAACAGCTATAACAACTATAACAACAACAACGACGACGACGACGACGACGCCGACGACGACGAAGATGACGACAACAACGACAACCACGACAACGACGACAATGACGACAACGACGACAACAAGGACAACGACAACGACAACACGAACAAGAACAAGAACGAGAACGAGAAGGAGGACCAGAAGCAACAACACCAACGACGACAACAACGACGACGACGACAATGACGATGACGACAACGAAGATGCAGCTCGCAGCATGTCATGTCCGCAAGTTCAGATGAAATCCCCCTCTCTCTTTCCCTCCCCCGACCCCTACAGGCATCGCCGGTGTGCGAAGCTCTACAATAAGTTACAAGTTGAATTATAACCCCATTAACCGCAGTTATATTAATATATATATATATATCATGTTACAGTTAGAATGGGACTTGCCCATCTTCCAAACCCTGAACCCCAGACCTCGCAACCTCCAACATACACACATCAACCCCGGCAAAACTAACCACAAACATTTCATATCAACTAAGCAAAAACACCCAATCCACAAGCAATCAGAAAAACTAACCACATATCCCAATCAAAAAAGAACTCCAACTGTTCAACAAGACTTGTCTTGTTGAAAAATTGACCGCCTAAATTTATGAAACAACATCATCATAAAACAATATCCCATGAACCAGAACAGAAACTCACCACAAACAACATCACAAAGCCAATCAGAACAACTAACCACAAACAACCAACCCACAAGCAATCATGACAGCTAAACACAAATAACTCATCAAACAAATCATCCAATACACTCCCATTTTTTCAACAAGACTTGTCTTGTTGAACATGTGTGCCCAGAATTATGAAACCATACAATGATAAATCACAACAACGCCTCATCACTTTTTGCAGAGCAACCACGTGGTGGTCAGCGTCAAGCTGGGAACCTCTCATCCCGTGCAGGCAAAAGAAAGCAATGAAGCACGCCAGTGTCACGTTCAGGGACAAACTGCGCGTCATCCTGTACAACTAAGACGGGAGCGTCCCAGTGTCGCATTACTAGTATCCTGGTCCCGGTACGAAATTCCGAAAGATCATCATCTCAGGGTTGTGGCACATCCTTGCTTTCATCCAATGGCAAGTCTCCACAATCCATCGCTCCGCACCTTGACGAGTGCCCACTAAAAGGAGCCTCGTGAGGTCACCATGCAGGGACTTGTGGCAGAAGCGACTCTCGAAAGGAAACTTCGCCTCGTTCAGGACGTCCGTTCCAATGGATTCAAAGTCGTGGCAGGACGAAAGAACATTGGTCACATTGGTCACGTTCAAAGGGATCGATTTCTTGACACGGAGGCACTGGCTGAAGAAAGGAAGCGGGGTGCTGATACAGAAGAGTGATTCATTTCCTGATGCATTGGCCAGATTTTTTTCCGTGCAAATGCCTGCCGCTTGAGTGAAGTTGATAGGGTCCTGGTGATGGTTGATGTCGCGTGGCCATGTGGTATACATACTGAGGTCCATCCACCCGCCACGAAGAGTGTGATTGTAGCCGTTCATGAGTTCTTCTTCACTGCAATTGGGAGGCTCAGGCAAATGGTAGCCAGCGGCAAAGGCGCTCAACAGGAGGGTGGTGAAGAGCATCATGGGCAATGGCGGGGAACAATCTACTTTGATTGCTGAGGACTGGGGATACCTAAATCCACCATTTGGGAAGAATATAGCAATAGCATCTTCGCATATGAACATGACATGGTGCAACATGACACACGCACATGCAACTGCGAGACGAAACCCTTCTCTATCTACATATACATCTCCTTACATCCATATCTACTTACACGTGTACTATGGCTTTGCCCATCTTCCACCCTGCTGGGAGGGGGTGTTTGTTTGTTTGTCTGCTGCTGTTGTTGTTGTTGTTGTTGTTGTTGTTGTTGGGGTATGGGAGGGGGACGCGTGTGAGAATGGAGTGCGTGAGAGGAAATAATGTATGTGCTGTTTTTTCTTTTTAACAAAAAACAAAGCAAACAACAATTTCATAACAATATTTTGAGAATATTGTTATAAATTATAAAATCATTTTGGCAACATATTTATTAGCAATTTCCCCCTTTATCATCTTTTACGATATGATAACAGCCTAGTCTTGGCTACGGGTTCTTTATCTTCCCAGAGTTTACCATCTCAAAGTACTGCTTTTGCTTTTCTTCAAATGTGCCCCTTGGTTTTCCTATCCCTTTCTTTTCGAAAATCTGTCCAACTTTCTTCTTTTCAGCTTCCTTGTCCTCAGCATCTTTACATTCTGTAAGTTCATTCAACTTAGTAAAGATTGCTATTTGGTTGTCGCTCATACTTTTTACCTTTTTCCATAACTGACTTAGGAGGTTATAATCCACTTCCTGAGGTTTCATAAGATATATAAATATATATTTAGAAAATTCTAAATATGTATTTATGTGTAGTTAAAAGTCAATTATCAATTCATCCACATCATTTATTGAACATATCTGGTTATTGCGTGGAGTACCCATAACATCACGTATCATTCTATTGGTGCTTTCCGTCTTTTGGTCTTCTGGAGTGATTTGCCTATTCCAGCTAAAGCTAATGCTATGGGCCTGGCTGTCTAGCTTAATGTCTCCGTTTTCATCTCTACTAACATTCATTGTTTTATCGGCTTTACTTAAATGAGCAGGGATTACAACAGCATTTAAATCCTTTGGGGTTCATTTCTATTTCCTTTCTTAGCTGTAATTGACCCTGACAAAGGGGGCAATCAAAAGTTGTAAATAACTTACTTGATACTTTTTGTTCTTTATCTAGGTTAATTGTTGTTGGTTCATCATCTGACAGTTCAAAATCTTCAGGCACTGCTTTTTTCAGCATCCCATCTTTATTGTAGTTGTTTGTCATTGATATTACAATGATCTGACATTTACAATAACTAAATAATATTGTTTGATAAAATCTAAATATATCTGTTGTATGACTTTTCTCAATGGGAGGGGTCGGGGTGAAAAAATGAATACAGTAATATATCATAAAATTCATTTAAGGGAAAAGTTCTTTTTGATCGGAATGCCCTGCGAGAGCTTTTGGGGACATGCTTTGCATGCGGCCCAAAGCCGGGCAGTCTGAAACTAACAGCGGTCCTGCAGCCCCGGGTTGCATCATTACAACCGTCGCTGGCAAATCGTCCAGATGGACTGGGATTCGTCTGAGAACGATCCGAAGAACCACGTCTGAGTGAAGTGACTGACGAGACAAGATGGGCTAGGCCAGCTGTGTCCAAAAACTATAGATAAAACTATTAAGGATTGGCTCGCATGCTTGAGTAACGATGTCTGCACTGGGTATAAATATTGATGCCAGATGACCCAAATGAATGTGTAGTTTAACCCACAGAAGATATCAACCAATTGGGGACATTTCATATTACGTCATATTCGTTGCTGAAAGGAATACAGTAACCCAGATGAATTTGCTGAAGTGTTTGAGTGCAGCAGCAGCCTACATCTCCTGCCTCACCAGTCACGATTGCAGGTGAAACTTGATGCTTTGAGGGACTCTTGAGCAGCCCTTCAGGCTCTTGTAGACAGAAATCTTCCTGTAGACATTGATGATCATGTCTAGACTCTGTGAATGAAATGTCGTATACCCTCTGGTAAACTAACATAACTATGGAAAATCACTATTTTTAATGAGTAAATCCACTATAAATGCGCTATGTCGTATATTTAAGCGCGATGGAATGCCGCTATGGGCCATCCAACCATCCCTGCAGCCATGTCCACCGCGACAGCCGCGACAGAACTCTCACTCTTCCCAGCGGACGAAAACCCCCTCCTGATTGGACTCCAAGGGCTAGAAACATGCCATGAATCATCGAACCCTTGACCAGCATCGAAACCAAAACAATCATGGCTTGCCCATGCTTGCCCCACTCCCAACGAACTGCGTTTGTGTGTGAGCAAAAATCGGAAGTGAAGAATGTCAGGACACCATAATGGGTGGATTACATATGAACACACACATAATAACATATATATATATATATCGATTATGATGATGATGGTGATGGTGATGATGATGATGATGATGATGATGATGATGATGATGATGATGGATGATGATGATGATGATGGATAATGATGATGGATGATGGATGATGGATGATGGATGATGGATGATATGGATGATATGGATGATATGGATGATATGGATGATATGGATGATATGGATGATATGGATGATATGGATGATATGGATGATATGGATGATATGGATGATATGGATGATATGGATGATATGGATGATATGGATGATATGGATGATATGGATATTATGGATAATGGATATATGGATATATGGATGAATGCTGATATGGATGATATGGATGATATGGATGATATGGATGATATGGATGATATGGATGATATGGATGATATGGATGATATGGATGATATGGATGATATGGATGATATGGATGATATGGATGATATGGATGATATGGATGATATGGATGATATGGATGATATGGATATTATGGATATTATGGATATTATGGATATTATGGATATTATGGATATTATGGATGATGGATGATGTACGATGTATTGTGTGTGTGATATATAAGTTTAATTAATCATTCAGTATATGTGTCGGGAGTATATATGGCCATAATGCCCCACTATTAACAAAAAAAATATGCAAAAAATGTATGCTACACCAGTAACTGTCCGACCGCTTGGCATCGCTCCTGGAAGTGAGCGTTCTTGCTTCTATGATTGGACATTGTGCACCTGTCAACCGGCTGAAAACAAGCCAGACATAGCCAGACTGTCGGCTGGAAAATCTTTCTGGGCATCCTTAATCAATCCTACTGGTGCTTAGTATGCAGGGAATGGGGGAACTGAGACCATAACTATTAGCCATCATCCCATTCCTCTATTCCCTACTTACTAAGCGCCAGTAAGTAACCACTCCACACAGTGTCCCACCTGCCCTTGCCATGGCGCTTGCCATTCTTCCATTCACCAGCATATTGCCTGGCTCTCGCAGGCCGAGAGCCACTCGTTTTTTTTTTTAACACAAGACATCACATAAATGATCATTAGATGATTGGCTCTTGCATCACTCAAAAGAAACCAAGTAATCGTTCATATTCAACACCCTCATTCTATTCCCCATAGGATCCATGTATGCTATATATGGTAACATTATGTAACATTTACCATCAATATACCCCCTTTATGTTAGCATATATACCAGCACCATGGATCCGTCATGGGTTCTATGATTCCAAAATGGTTTCACAGCTCGGCCTGCCATCGGGCCAGCTGAAGACACCGTGACCTCAGGACATCTCACGAGATCTCGTCCGAGTCTTTTAGGGGGTCCCTGCAAAGCTGGCTTAAAAGTGTCGACATCTGCAAGGAAATCCATCATGTTGGTCAAGTTTCGGCTGGTTACTAGGTTGCTGTCATTTAGATGTCATGTACACGTGGCACTGTATGTACTGTATCTCCGATGACTCGGTCAGACGGTCAGAAGACCTTGCACCATCTGATGAAAAGCTGCACCATCTCAGATCTCTCCAGGCATTCCAAAAGAGAAGGCACGAAAAGAAGTGGGCATCATTGTGCATTTCTCTCCATGATTTTCCCAGAAACCTCCATTTACTTCGCTGATACTTCGCTGATACTTCGCTGATACTTCGCTGATTTCCCAGCTGACACCGGTATCGGATAGGTTCAGGCTGTGCGGAACTCCCACGGCTGGGTTCCTTGCCGTGCTTCACATCCTCAAAGAAGTCGCCTTTGGCAACGAAGGGCGCTCCAGGGCCCCAACTTGTGCTGGAAAGCTACACGAATCGATATGACTTCATATTACTTAAAAAAACATCTTACTGTAATCCCTTCCCCCTATTACTAAACCCCCCAAATAATAAAACTAGGGTCCATCTCTAATTTTGGAAGATTTCAGGTTGGCCAATTTGACTTTTAATTGATCCCCTTTAGAAAACAATTTAAAAATAAAGCTACCATTTGTGGGTTTCGCCCCCTAAAAATAAAAACTTGTTAACCCCGGGGTGTTTATTATTATTAGGATGCGTGAAAATTTTAGTTTTTTATATTAGGATTTTTAATTTAATATTAGGGGGAAGCATCGAAATCGAATTTTTGGCAATATTTTAATTGGGTTATAAAAGGAAATTTAATTGATTTTGAAATCGGAAAAACTAGTTCTGTTTATTAAGGTTTTAAATTTATTAATAGGGTCCGCTTCGAAATCCAAGTTTTTGGGAATATTTTAATTGCGTTAAAAAAGGAAATTTAATTGATTTTGACATCGAAAATAGATGAAAATAGTGTTTTTTTAATTCAGGTTTTAAATTTATTAATAGGGTCCCCTTCGAAATCCAATTTTTGGCAAGATTTTAAGGAAATTTAATTGATTTTGACATCGAAAATAGATGAAAATAGTGTTTTTTTAATTCAGGTTTTAAATTTATTAATAGGGTCCCCTTCGAAATCCAATTTTTGGCAAGATTTTAATTGCGTTAAAAAAGGAAATTGAACTGATTTTGAAGTTGAAAAAGAATGTGTTTTTAATTAAGGGTTTCGTTTTAATTTATTAATAGGGTTCCCTAATAATAAATACCCCCCTAATAATAAAAACTACCTGACTACCTGAGGTGTTTATTATTTGGGGGGGGCGTTTAGTATTAGGGGGAAGGGATTCTTAAAAACACCAAAAACAAGAAAAGACATGCCATGCCCCATCAGCGGTTGAGGCTTGGACCAGTGTACGATCGACCATCTCCATATGAAAAGGTGCCTTTGCCTAAGCGCCCCATGGGATCCGACGTCCAGGGGGACTGACAAAAAGCCAAGTAAGTTCCCGGGCCGTGCATGGTATTCTTCTCCCACCTCAAGCCGCTGCCAAAGGTCAGGAGCATTAGCCTATCAGCCAACTTAGTAATATATTACAAATGGAGCTTTCCATAGATGAGGGATACCAAAAATTGATTTTTTTTTCTTCATGGAAAATCCTACACTGTATATTAGAATGGACGCTTTAGGGGTACCCCCTATTTTAGGAAACGCCCAAATGAGGCTCCCCACTCACCAGTGTAACTCCGGCCATCTGCCCATGAATACGTACCAATGCCGCTCCTGGCGACATGGATCACAGCATAGCTCTACTGACACAGTCAATTTGTTGGCACATTTGTCTGCTGACGTCTGCTGAATGTAAGGCTCAGGCAGGTTGTTTGCTTCGAAATTGCCAATGTAACTAGATCCATCCGGCCACCTCAGCAAATAGTTCCAGAGATGTTTGGATGTTGCTTTCAAGCCGCTGGTGTATGGTGCCGCCATCCATAACCACCAACCACCGAGGGCGCAGAAAAACCATCCATTCTGCTGGGGGTCACCTTTGGGGTTCCTGGAATCTCCAGAGACGGACTGAGGCTATGGCCGAAAAGTGCCCTCGCCATGCTTGATCCCCTGGTAATAGGTGCCCTGGAATCGCTTTCCATCTGGCCAAACCTGAACCACAAACTGCAGGTTAATCCAGTGCGGAAGCGCGTTCGCAGCTTGATGTGATACTTGAAAATGCCGAAGTTACTCCATGATATATAGCAATAGGGGTGATACTGGATATTGATAAATCAATCAGAAAAATCATAATCAGAATGGAAATGCTATAATTAATCAGTGGATTTGGATGAATTCAGGATGACATTTTGAGGCAATTTTCCGACAAACCCATCGTATTGCATCGCCTCAACGCCATCCCCATGATGCTTGTCGCACCAAAAGTTTCCAGTGTACTTCGAGCCGTCCATCTGAGCATGTCGTGACACTGCTGCAGGGAAACTATATATAGGGAAACTGTGAAAGTTCAAGGGGTTGAAAATTTGAAGAGGAAGGCAAATGGCAAACAAACATTGTTTTCTGTTTCTTCATGTATGGGCTATGTGCCATTGCCATTGCTGTGGTCATGTCTGCCTTCCGACCATCCGAAGGTCATGTTTGACAAGGCCCCGACATACATCGCCACTCCATAGCCATGCTGCATGTCGTCCAAGTACTGACCTTCGTACCTCACCATGACCGGAAAAATCACTGTCAACACACGGGTGGCCTATATCTGCTGCATATATATATATATCATCGTTGCACAACCACTAATCAAAATTGATCATTAATATCATCTACAGTACCAATAAGTGTACTTAGTGCAACGGGTAAAATAACCCTCTGCAAAGCACACGACGGAGACGTATTACAAAGTAACAAAGCCTCATAATGTGCATGATGATCACAGACCGAAAACTTCAAACCTTTGCTCCAGCAGCAATCATACATAGTGAGGATATTCCACGGCAAGCGACCAATCACCGGCAGCGTGTACGAATTTTCCCATGCCCTGCGCTTTGTCCTGCAGATGGGCAGAAATGGAAAGGTGATGATGAAAATGATGAAAGATTGGTGCTGCCATGACAAGTTCCAGCCAATTCAGAAATTCGTGGAGCACTGGGAGCAAGTTGTCAGCACCAGGTTTTACCATGACCAGCAGCTATCAGCAGCTGCTATCGCCATCCTTGACCCACTGACCGGTGTAGCAGGCGGCATCCGGCCACCTCTGTACCTGCAACAAATCTGGTGCCGGACTCAGACCTTGGCCGAATACGAAACCCCAAACACCAGGAGCCCAACAGCATCCAGGGGCACTCCATGTCCCTCTCTTGCAGGTCCTACCCATTGGCCTCCCAATGATCAATGATTTTGAGCACTGCAGGATCTACGGGCTGCTGCAAGTTTTCAGCAACTGAGGCTGCAAGCCTTCGTACACGGAGCCATTGGGAAACCTGTGCCGCAACCGGTCGCCAAGGTGAAAGCAGGACTGAAAAACGCAACTCGCCAGCAGCACTCATGGGGTGGGCGATTCTGGCGCTGGCTCTCAGGATCGGCCTCACAGATTTGGATGTTTTACAGTATTTCATTGGATTGGTTTAAGGGAAAATCTACAGGAACACCCCATATTTGCTGGGAAAAACCATGGTTTCCGGATGTTTCCGGTTAAGATGTTCCCTTAAACCAAGCCATTGATTAGTGCAACATATTGCAAGCAGATTCTAGATGTTTTGAAAACGAGGTCCCAACGACGCGGGAGAATGGCGCCCAGTGCGACTCGGTTGCGCCCATCTCTGGCTGCGGCTGTGAAAGGAACAGCTACGGCAGCTACGGGCGCACGGCACTGCACCACCTTTGATAGGAAATCATGACCAATATCAAATATCTTGTTAGATTCTGTTAGATTAGCTTCTGTTGCTGTGCAAGCGCCTTTTCTTCACAATGAAGTTCGAGCCAAAAAAGAGCAGGTACAACAACTCTGTGGCAGTTAAGTTATATCAGTTATGGTTACAGTAAGTTACATCCATCTGGAACTGCTGGTGCACCGAAAAACTTCGGAAGTCACACATGGAGGCCAGACTTGATACAGGGTGGTACCAGTAGTAATTCAATGTAGATGGTAGTAATTCAGCCTTGTCATTGACTCCAGCCCTTGCAGAAAAAAGTTGCTGCCTGGTATCTGCGTTGAAACTTGACCTCAGGATGCTTTGGGATGTCGTGTTCTGCAAGCTGAAGCTAGTTACACTTCCCAGGGCCACAGCATGATTGTTTGTACTGGAGACAACATTCCTGAGTGGGGCGTTCGGGAGCTGACTTTCTTGGCTTTGGCTGGAAGATCTGGCAATCACGTTTGAAACACTGCGAAGCAAAGAGAATATACCCTCTGGTAATTTAACGTAGCTATTGAAAATGGCCATTAATAGTGGATTCTCCCATGAAAGATGGTCATTTTCAATAGCTATGTTAAATTACCAGAGGGTAGCTCATCTTGATACATGTTTGAGCAACATTAAAAATCCTTTGGGGGTTCTCGGGTTCTCTATTGAAACCCATCAACTCAAAACTCAAAGGATTGTGGTCCACTGGATGTTGGAATGCAAGCTGTAACATGCCGTCATCAGCTTAATGGTCTGAGCTTGTCAAAGTGTTCAACCACATGACCAAAAGAGCAAACCAATGAGCAAACCTGACCACTCATCACCTAGTCAGACCTAGTCCTTCCACTCGCGAATCACACCGAATCTCATCCAGGTGACATCACAAAACGAGAGACTTTGCTGAGCCTGGGCCGTCAAAAACACAACATGGGCCAGTTTGATACGAAATCAATCGGTTGCTTGAGACAGTCACATTGCATTTCTGGTTGGCAGCTAGCTACGGGCATCAAAGCTTGCTAAGGGGCTGAAGTGGTGTCGTTGTAAACAAATGTAAACAAGATAAACAAGCGTGCTTCTTCTGCTCCCCCCCATTCAGCGGCCCGCTCGTGCAGAAGCTCCTGTCACGAGGCATTAAGGGTAGCCGCGTGGTCCAGTTCTGACGCCTCCCCTCAGGTTGAATGTGTATGTGGTGTCTGTGAACTCTCTCTCGGTTTGTATGGTTTGGATCCAAATGATCCAAAGTCAAATTCTGATGATTTTGGACACATCACTCGTTAGCATCAACCCGCAAGAGGCTCAGGCGAAACATGAGATCGACCCGCTGCATTGAGAGGGTGCTCTATGGATTCACCTCGCCTCAGTGCCTTTCCCCAAACACACCCCGTAATTCCCTGCGTTTTGATCGTTCTGTTGTCTAAATTATTAAATCATTCCTTGATTGTTCCTACATTCACCCCTTTTGCCTGTTCAGGATGAAATTGCCATTCCTAGCTTTCCTGGAAGGGTGCGTCATTGTGCGTGATCAAGTGGTCCATCCACACCTCAATCTCAAAAAGGAAAAGTATGGAAAAGTATTCAACTAATATAATTATTTGGACATCCCCCAATTTTCGGACAACAACATAGTATTAAACTACCCATCCAACGTTCCCCAAAAATTACAGCAACTGTATATGATACTACTCCCTGAAAAGCCTTTTCTTGGGATTTCCATGTCTGTTCTCCTCTGCGCTCAAGCCCGGAAGTCTGGGAATGGACGAAATGGTCCTTGGCGTCGGGACACGCCATCCTTGAGGGGCCATGCAGTTCTATGTGTTGACATGTGTTGACTATCTTTCAGTCAAATCAATGAGGCTACAACAAATGAGGCTTTATCATGCTTTATCATGATTGGATTGGCTTAGGGGAAAAAAAATTACAGGAAACCAGAGTTATTTTCCCATTAAATATAGGAAAATCTATGGTTTCCTGTAAATTTTCCCTTAAACCAATCCATTGATATCAACAGTTCATCTGAAAGTAGGCCACCCCATGACCCATCGGACGACCCATTGGTTGATCAGGCTGAGCACCAGACCCCCAACCAATGACGGTCACGTCAAAGCGCGGTCCCCATCTTTGCAGCAACTGGCATGTGACAACGAAACCCCAACCCCCAAAAAAAATCAAAAGTCATGAAAAATCAATACTTTTGATAATTAAATCATATTAAATCCACTTGAATCCTACGAGATTGTTTGTTGAACTTCAGTACTTCCAGTACTTCCCAGATAATCAATTCTAGATACTTCTGGAATCTTTTGAATACTTCTGGACCGGGACATCAGGCCCAACCTCTCCAACTTGCAGTGCAGTCATGGAACAGCTGCCAAGCACAAACCTTGGAATAGCACAAAACCAATTGTGGAGCAAATCATCAAAACCAGCAAGCTCATCTGCGGTGTTAACTCCATCCAGCCGATCTTTCGCATTTTCCTTCCAGTGCCATCCAGTTCCATGTCGCCAGGGTCTGGAAATTTCTCCAGAACAACCACATTGACAGAGCATTTGGCATTGAAAATGTGATAATTTGTATAGGATGCACGGGTCTTCCGTGAACCTTCTGGCCAATTCCGTGGCTCATAGCAAGTCAGCAAGCCGCGCTCTCCTCAGAGTCGTCCTGGTCGTCTGAGACTTATGGGTCAAGTACATACCCTGGAAGACATTTTCCTTTCAACCCGAGAATAGGCTACTCCTTATCCCATAGGATCCATGGTACATACCCTGGAAGACATTTTCCTTTCAACCCGAGAATAGGCTACTCCTTATCCCATAGGATCCATGTATGGTATATATGCTAACATTTGGGGTATATTGATGGGGTATAAATGTTACCATATATAGCATACATGGATCCTATGGGTATTTCACTGCTTGATATCATGAATCATCATGAATCTGACTTTCCCTACTAAAATGGTGGCTGAAATGGCGTGCCATGATGTGCCATGCCTCGTCCTCCTCCTCCGATGATGTGTCATCATCTACGTGCATGGGATCTTGGACACCTGGGCGCCAAAGAAACATTCAGCGCTCCCTTTCCGCACGGGCACCACAGGAAGTTCGATGATTTTCACGCTTTGCAGTCTTAATTCAGCTAGTCCATGAAGAAAATGTGGGTTCAGATGTTGGACGCAAAGGTCGAAGTGAAGTCACCAGAAATACGTTCGGTCAATGACTTATGCAATCACTCAAATAGTGATCGATTTCTTCCCTTCCATGCATGGTGCTTGAAAAGGATTTTTTTTTTTGCCATATTCCATGGGACACATATGGACACATCATCAAGTACAATCAGAAATTGAATTATATACACAGCGATGTTACCCTCTGGTAAACTAACATAACTAATTATGGAAAATCACCCATTTTTCATGGGAAAATCCACTATTTCTATGGCCATTTTCAATAGCTATTTTGACATAACCAGAGGCTACACAGCGATGTTATCGTCATCAATCCATTGATGACATCTTTTGACCATGGCAAAAAAACAAGGCATGACACATGATTGTGATGATATATTACTATGATTGACATGATTATATATATATTTATATATTAATGGTTAGTTATATAATGATTATATATATATATATATATGATTATAGGGAGAATTAAAGGATATACAATGATAGTTTCCGGATAATTATGGGATGATTCTACCCATAAAATGACCAGTTAAGGGGGGAGAATTATGATGAACCAGTGGATGGCATGGGGTACGAACCCAAATTTTAAGTGTTAGATTACCCGCTTTCGTAGACATTCATAGGGTCTTAGGATGAAAAAATGACACCCATCTCAGCATCCTCAACTCCTAACTCCCAATCTTTCATTCCTATCTGTTCATATCTGTTCATCATTCTTCCATGTCCCCCAGGTCTGAGCAAGGCCGAGCCCGGCACCAAAGAGACTCACGAATTGTCCGCCTTGCCTTCGCCTCTCAGTGGGATTGGCACGCTCCAGCAAGTCCTGACGGGTTTGTTTAGAGGCAGTGCGTGTTGTTCTATGAAGGTACCATTATAAAGATATAAATATGTATATAGTACAATAGACCATGCAGTTTACATATATATATATAATTATACATAATTATGTGTGTGTGGATAGAAATATGAGATACTCTATAGAATACATGTATTATATAATTATAATTGTAAGTTGATACATTTGATCCCGTCAAGACTTTCCATGAAAAATAGACACGAGGTCACCAGGAATCGTCAGTTTGACAGTCACTGAGGCCAGGACGGATCCACGTTTGCTCGGCCCAGGGTTGCGCACGGACACGTGAGACACGGGAGGCGCGTCCGGTAGAGATGCTGAAGAGGTCGTTCTTCGTTCCACTTCGGCAAAGTCAGCCTTGAAGCATGGGACGAGATGATAGCTCCATCTAAGATCCAAGGATTCTGGCTTGACATCTACCCTACCTACCTGCCCTTGTAGGATCTACCTCGCATTGAAAGCACCCAATGTCAGCATCACCAGGTAACCTCAACTAGATTGCCACCCTGAGGCGCCCGCCAGAATCTGAGGTAACGTGCTAGACCTCGACATCATCAAGGCAGCACATAGGTGGCACATAGGCAGCACAGCACCATGAAGAATGTCCTCTGCTAAAAAAAAATTGCCAAGCGACTCCTTTTCATCTTCCCTGAGCATCAGTACTCTCTTCAGAACCTCAGTAGCGATACTACACTACACTCGGGAGATTCTCTGGGCAGGTGCACTGTTGATAGTGACAAAGGTAGAAAAAGAAAATGACGAAAATGGATGAAAATGAGTCCTGCAGCATCCTTCAGCTTTCAACAGCTGAGCAGTGTTCAAAACAAGACATGTCATGAAATATCATTCCATTTTATCCTGGCGTATAACGGGGTTCCCAGCTCAAAAAAATGTTTGATCATCCCCATATCTAAAAGGGTAGTCGGTAGTCTATCCAACTAATCATCAGCTCATAGATGGTGATCATGAATATCCATATCTTGCAACATCTTGCTACTTTCATGTATTTTAATATCATGGTATGATGAATATAATGTTAACATCATTAACTGGATGGTTCCCATCATCCCTGGTAAAACGTTAATTCTTAGAAATTCCCATCCCAAAAACACACGGGGAATCTAAGTGTAAATGCAATCCACCAACGTTAATATAAGTTAATACTAATCATCAGCCAGGATAACTATTCAGTTAATACTAATCATCAGTTAACTAATACTAAGCATCAGCTGTATCTAATAACATATATACCAACCAGAGTATACTATTCAATACTAAAAGTCAAGAAAACCTTTCAGCAAAACGCTCAGCTGTAGTTCATGCAGTGCAGGCAGGTTGCCCGATCGCGCACCAAATGCATCGAGCGCCAGAATTTGCCATGATGAATCAACATCGGGGGCGCAGTGCCTGCCGTGCCCTCCAGGTCTGTTGGTTTATAAAGCCAGTTAAGTGAACTTTGTAACTACCCAAGTTATCAACTTATGTTAGTTATATGTTATAAACCAATTTGGCCAACTATGGGGCACCATGTTGCAGCTTTCTGCATCTGCTCACCGAAAGCAGGAGTTGACTTGCATTTGTGTTGTTCGCGCCTTCCATAGGAATGTCCAAGCACCTGTCGCAAATCTTTAGAGAATTCGTTGTTGGGCTGACTTGCTGAAGTTGCATGTGGTTGCCACAAAATCACACTTCCCATCCCCTCAATAACATAGACCCTGCCATTGAAAAGGGGGATGAGTTGCCACTCAAATTGGCTACTTCCAGGGTCTACCCTCTGGTAAACTAACATAACTATGGAAAATCACCATTTTTCATGGGAAAATCCACTATAAATGGTCATTTTCAATAGCTATTTTGACATAACCAGAGGGTATGTTTCTTGGAGGATCAAGGGCACCGCTGTTGAATTCACCGTCTCAGGACCCCACTTCAACAACACCTTCGTGCTGCCACCTGCGGGCTGCGAGGCATCGCTGGCATCACAGCAGTCGTCATCCATTGCTTGGAAATCCTGGTATCTGATGGACATGGATATACATGGATATACACAATTGGAATAGGAGATGTTCATGGATTTTCCATTGCCACGTTCGATGACTGCCATGTTTGGAGCAATCTGTTGTTGTGCCATTCAATTCACCAGCACCAAGTGATACAATGTGCTGGTGGCGGCCGAGCAGCCAAAGAACATCAAGAAAAACACCTGGGAGATGTTCGCCCACCAAATCCATCCAAATCCAACCAATGGACGTGTCAAACGATCACCAAAGCCCATGAGAACTGAGTGAACTGAGGCAGCAACGATCACCAAAACGGTGGCATTGCGCAGCGTGTTTTTGGTCCCAGCTTGTTCTTGGTCTACCCATGGCCCCAGTTCAAGTGTCAGCACCAAAGCAATGCCTTGGATCGCTGTTCATGGCTGGAGTCGGCTGGAGTCGGCTGGAGCTGATCTTCCACATGTTATCATATGCATTTGATATGTATGCCATATCTATTCCATGTTAGTATTCCATGTGCATGTCATATATTTCATGTTAGTATTTCATCCGTATTTCATGTCTATGTCATACTTACTTTTGATATCATTTCACAATACATATATATATTATAATATTATTATTATATATATATGCGTGTAACTCACAATGTATATATATACATCACATATCATAAAATCCTGAGTCACATGTGTGTAATTACATGTGTATATATATATATATATCAGATATTATAATATATATATATTATATTATAATTATATATATTATATTATATTATATTATATTATATTATATTATGTTATTATATTATATTATATTATGCTATATTTTATTATATTATATTATGTTATATTATATTATTTGTATTATATTATATTATATTATATTATATTATGTTATTATATTATATTATATTATGCTATATTTTATTATATTATATTATGTTATATTATATTATATTATATTTTATTATATTATTATATTATATACAATATATTATATTATATTATCTTATATTATATTATATTATATTATATTCTAATATATTTTATTTTATTATATATAATATATTATATTATATTACATTATATTATATTATATTATATTATATATTACATTATATTATATTATATTATAATATATATATATATTATTATTATACTATATTATATTATATTATGTTATATTATATTATATTATAATATATATATATATATTATTATTATACTATATTATATTATATTATGTTATATTATATTATATTATATTAAATTATAATATATTATATATTATTATATTATATTATATTATATATTATTATATTATATTATATCATATTATATACTATGAATCTATCATGATCTATCTATCTCATGATTCCCCAACTCCGGCTGAGCGCCTCCTCGGAGCCCTGCGTGCCACATCATGAAGATCTGGCGTGCCGCTTCCCACTTAAAATGCTCGAAAAATCATCCCCCAAAAGAGATCGAAGTGCGTAAAATGCAACTTAAACTTGGGTGATACAGCACTGTTCGGCATCTTTTTGGGGGTATGGAATATCTTCAGGTCGCATTGGGAAACTCTGAAGCTCCAACTGGCTCCCCATTCATCACAAGGAATACGGATAGATACAACCGTAGCTCCCGTTCACAGCCCCCTCCATTCACCACTGGAGGAATCTTCAAGAGATTTCAGTTCCGACCTCTTGATGTAGGGACGTTTTGGGGGGAGTTCTCGACTACGCCTATGAAACCACCAGAATTTAAACAAATCATAACAAATCTATCTGAACGATTCCAAATGGATTTCAATGGCGACATTCAAAATTAGATGAAATTAGAACAACCATTTTGGCATGTCTTGGAAATATGGAGACCCTTGTCATCCCTTGTCCCACTTGCAGATCTGGACTTCATCTGGGGTTCCCAGCTTTGCGCCAATCCAGCGTCAGCTTCTTCTCCTGAGGCAAGTCTCTTCTGTAGATCTCCTGGCACGACAACTTCGTAATCCAGAGCTTAGGAAAGCATGTTTTTTACACAAAAGATCTCACACGTGTTTCATATGTATTTTTCTAACGTTCAAGTGGCTCATGAAATGGTCTGTTTCATATGTATTGAGTTGTATTGATCGTGGCACCAGCCTTGCATAGGTTTGTCAAGAAAGCCAAAGGGATGACCTGACATTTGGCGTACACGGCATGGTCGTTGCAACATTGATATATCATCGACTGGCCAAGCTGGGACTTGCACAGCCGCAGCCCTTCCCACAAGGCAAAAGGCGCAAACCAGCAGTCCAAAGACCAATCCTGCAATCTGCCATGACATGCCATGACTACAGTTTGCGTCCCAAGACCAAGATGTTGAGTTGGCGGCGCATGTTTGTTTGGGCGCGTCTAATGCATCACAGTGTGGGACAACGCCGACATTGACCAAAGTCTGACTGTGCTAACAGCACATCAATGGGTTTTGTGGCACTTAAGTGTTGGACACACCATCACCATCTATGCTATTTCCCTTTCCGTTTCCCTTCCCCTTCTATCTCTTTCTCCTTCCCTCTCTCTCTCTCGCTCTGGCTGGCTCTCTCTCTCTCCCGACTTTTTCGGCAAGCGAGTTGGACTTAGCACCAGCCAGGCCTTGTACATCACAATAGACAGCAGTAATGCCCACCATCAGGAACACGACCTCAGCATTCATTCTCATCCCAGCAATGGTCTTCCATTTCGGGCTTTGCTGGGTTTGAAATGCAGGACTCCAATGGACCCCACAACCATTGCTTTCTTCATACAATTGCCAGTAACTGGGATCATTGATGATTTTTTGGGATCCTTGGGATCCTTTTATGATTTTTGTTGGGGGATTTTGCAAAACCCAACCGTTGCTCCAAATCAATTTTAAGCGCCAGGTTGCCATGTCTGCCATGTTGGCGGCTTGTTTCAGCGTGAAAGCGCCTCAGAGTCGGGATCTTTGGAGTGCACGGCTGTCAGCCTGACAGCTGTCGCGTTTTTTGTTGGATGCGAGAGTTATAACATGTTATAACTATAATTAGTAACCCTCCCCAACCGTGCTATAGTTGATAATAGTTGATATATAGTTGATATATAGTTGATTACAAAGAAAATTCACAACTTTGCTTTTCTATCTCTGGCGATCACTATTGAGGCCAATCTTCTTGGCGCGAACAAAGGGGCCGAGGCGCAGAACATGTTGACTTCGCCAGAGAATTGATATTTGGCAAACGCGCTGGCGAACATGGCGCCAAAGAGTACTGTGATGATACCCGACATGCCACACCTTGGCTGATGGCCGAGTCAAATGTCAACAGCTCCACATCTTCACCACGGGAGTGGCCCAACTTCCAACTTCTGACAAGGCACGCACGTTCCGCGAAGCTATAGATAAAGAAGCTAGACAAGAACATGAATAGAACGCAGTTGCTGGTTGAGTGCGTCAAACCTTGGCTTTCACCCCATGGAAGCAGCTTAGATGTCCGGAAAATGAGTGCACACACACTTGCAAAAAGTCAGTCCCGAACGGCTCATCCTGGTGATTAACCTCAGCTTGCAAGTAGGCAAGCTGGACGGCGAAGCTATGCGCATGGCTTGTTGACCAGTCAGCTCCAAGGGACATCAGAAGGAAACCCAGAACAACGCCAAGTCCAACTGACCCAAATAGCAGGAGCGAGGTCTGCGAAGCTATCCCTCAGTGAGGAACTATGGTGGGGCGAGCTCATAAGGATTCAGGTCTAAATCCTAATCCTGCCCGGGTGAACACTTGCATCCCTCCATTCCCATGGTCTGCCCCGCTTTTTCCATCAAGAAGAAAGCGTATGAAATGCCACCTGGTGGCGGCTAGAAATAATATGGAAGCTGGTGTCCTGAAAGATACCACCTGGCAGGATGCCAGGGGCCACCCGCAACTCAGGCAACTCAGGCAATTTGAAATGCTTCCAGCCTTCGTTGAGAACTCGAAACAGTGTAATCGCCACCGCATCATTCACCTTACAAAAAGAAACCGATTTTTTCAAATATCCTGGTTCCGCAAGTCTGCTGGAAATCTGGTGGCTGAGCTTCGACAAAGCGTCGCATGAAGCTGCTTGCTGGGGCACCACCGATTCACCAAAGACACAAATATTTAGTAGTGGATCAACTTGAAGATGCGCATAGGTTGCCAAGGTTGCCTTGCAGATCTTTGGTCTTTAAACGGGGCCACGACAATGTCCCAAACCTGTATCTATCCTCCACAACAATCCAGAAACCCGCAGGTACTTTTTCGAAACCGTGATATTAGCCTCTAGACAGGCTTATATCATGGCCGCCCCTTGCACACTGATTCCAAAGTGTGTTTAAAAGTTTACCATCTGGCTATTTAACATAGCTATGGAAAATGGCCCATTTATAGATGGTTTACCTATTAAAAATGGTGATTTTCCATGACAAAAATGTCGCGTCCCAGCAGCTACTGGATCAACTGCCGAGATCAAAGCAGCATAGGTGAAGGCAGTCCGGACCTGAAACGCCATTGCTGCTTGGCGATTGGTGATGAACATCCTGAAATTGCAGCTATGGTGGCAAGAAAAATGGCATGACTTGGATTGATTTGGAATTTTTTTCTGGCATGGTTGCTGCATGTTGATTCTCAAGCGCCTCACCAGAGAGTCTTGCAAACAAGGGGCTGAGCAGACTCCATGCACGTGGCAAGTGGCATTGATCAAAAACCCCACGACAACCATTGATATCAGAGTTCCGCCCACAGCGAAAGTCAGTATAGTGAACCTCGCTACTATACTAGGCCAGGTGAAACATCAGCAAAAAACTCCACAGTATGAGCCAGGCCCAGAAACTAGGTCTTGCTTTGTCTGGAAATATAGGATACATACAGATATCATATGAAATAAGCATAAGGATGCATAAGGCAGGAAATATCAATGGGACAGGACAACTCCAAGTGCAGTATATTGACATCACCTTACGCCATATTCGTACAACATCGCACCTCTCTATCTCATATTGATTGCATGACACTACATTGTATCAGATCTCCACTTCGCCTCTCCTTCAAGTACAATATATATATATATATAGATGATATAGGTTATATAGATAGTATAGATAGTATAGATAGTATAGATAGTATAGATAGTATAGACAGAATAGATAGTATAGATAGTATAGATAGTATAGATAGATAGATAGATAGATAGATAGATAGATAGATAGATAGATAGATAGATAGATAGATAGATAGATAGATAGATAGATAGATAGATAGATAGATAGATAGATAGATAGATAGATAGATAGATGATATGATAGATTAGATAGAGATAGATAGATGATTAGATAGATAGATAGATAGATAGATAGATAGATAGATAGAAGATAGATAGATGATAGATAGATAGATAGATAGATAGCTAGATAAGAAGATAGATAGATGAGAA